GCACCTAGGCAGCGCCATGAATGGCGTGCCCATGCTGCCATCACAGAACTCCCCGATACCGAACCGTGGCCGGGGCGAAGTCCGGGAGTCTCTGCGTGCTGTTCAGACCCGAGAGACGCTCCGCCAAAACCGGGCCTCGAAGCAACCGCAACTAGATACCTCTCCTGCACCGAGTCGTGCCGAGGCCGCAGCGGAGCTGTCGGCAGGCAGGCCCGAAAGCCCAACGATACAAACGCCGGAAGACAAGTACCCTAAACCCAGCGCTACACTGAAAGGCCCTATGAGCGATGATCTCCCTATAATGTCACCCGACGACGATGATGGCAAGCCCGATCCACCGCGTAAAGATGAACCCAAGGTCTCATCAGGGATCAAGACCCCGGAGAAGAAGCGCGACGCCAGTTTTCTTCACGAGCAGTCTCCGCCCTTGACCACAGAACTCACTTTGTTCCTGCAATACAAGTCCAAAGTCAAGAAGTTTGTGCTACCTGAGGGGTACAGCGAGCTCTCGATTGGACGCCTTCAACTGGCGTTTATCGAAAAGTTCTCTTGGAACACACACTCCAATGGTGCTGATCTTCCAGAGATATACATTCAAGACCCCGTATCAGGGGTTAGGCACGAGCTCGAAGATCTGTCAGATATCAAGGATCGAACAGTGTTGGTTTTGAATGTCGAGCCACTCGATGAAGTAAAGCGCCATATCGATGAGGGCATTGGACAACTGAAGAAGATAGTACAGGATGTGAAGCAGAACCAAGACGACCAAGGTCTGGCCCTCCAGCGAGTTTCGGAACGTCAGCAAGAGGCGGTTGCGGAGATGGCCCGGCTTGCTGCCGCCCCTCCGGCGGTGTCTGCGCCTGCTGATGGATCCAAGTCAGTAAGCCTTGCTGGCGGCCGTAAGCTCGCTTCTGGACACATCACCGAGATCCAGACTCTGCGCCGTGACCTTGCTGTCATGCGCCAGGCCTACTCCAGCTTCCAGTCGGAGATCCAAGGCTCAATGTCAGCCATCCGCAGCAAGGCAAGCAATGTCAAGGCGGCGGTGGTCAAGGCCTCGATACCGACCATTGATGGCGAAACCGGCCATGCATACGTCACCAAGGGTCGCGAGCAGCTCAACACAGATTCCGATCGGCTCGTCACAAAGGTCGACGACCTGCAAGATCTGGTTGAGGACCTCCGTAAAGATGTGGTTCTCCGTGGTGTGCGGCCTCTGCCTAGGCAACTAGAGACTGTCGCCATGGATATCACGAAGCTTTCCAAGGAGCTCAAGAAGGTGGAGGACTACATGAAGGAAGAGAAGCCTATATGGACCAAGATCTGGGAGAAGGAGCTTGAGGACGTGTGCAAGGGCCGTGATGAGCTGCGCCTTATGGAGGATCTCATGATCGATTTGCAGGATGACCTGGAGAAGGCGTCCGAGACCTTTGCGCTCGTCGAGCAGGCTACCAAGGAGCAGCTAAAAGATAACGGGACGGGCGCCAGCGCCGGCAGCGCCCGCAACTTCTCCAAGGGCCTGAACGGCATCGGCAACAGTCTCGACCCGAACGCGGCCAAGGATGGTGTCCTCGGCGAGGTGAGGGCGCTCCAGCCGAATCACGAGAACCGTCTCGAAGCCATCGAACGCGCGGAGAAGCTGAGGCAGAAGGAGCTCGAGGGCCGCAAGGGGAACGAGCTGCAGAGGGAGCTGTCCAACTTTGTCGAGGAGGGGAAGCTAAAGAAGTCCGGCGGCTTTGAGGAGGTGGAGCGGGCGAGGAAGGCCAAGGACGACATGATTCGGAGGCAGGTCTGGGAGAGGCAGAATGGCATCGTTGCGGAGGAGGGCGAGGGGGGGGAGGAAGAGGAGGTTGAATACGAAGAAGTCGAAGAAGAGGAAGAAGAAGACGAAGAGGAAGGAGAGGCGGGAGCGGAGGCTGAGGCGGCTGAGGCGGAGAAGGCTGCTGCGCCGCCGGCGCCATGAAGATAAGAAGCAGTGGGCAGTTGGGTTTTTTGTTATAAATGAATGGTCATACACATGTGTTATGGTGTCAATGACCCCGTACGGAGGATATGTCAAACACACTTTTGTTTCTTCTCGTCATTCCCCTTTGGTGTCCCCCTTTTTTGGCGATCTCATTACTCACTCTGGCCGTATCTTCGCATAGGCGGAGTTTGGGTAGTTCTGTTGTTACCTTGTTTTCCATATCTTTTTTTGCATTATAGGGGGTTCGAGTTGTATACCTAGCCCTGAATTGGCTGTGTAGGTGTGCCTCGCAGATCTTTGCCATGGTAGCCTAGAGCGAAGGCGAATTATGAAACTTCATTCTTCATATTTTTGCCTAAGTACTAATGTCTTTTCTACTGATGTTGTGTGGATTGATGCTTGATGTGATGAGATAGGTAGGGAACCTATATTACGTTTAAGCTTAGTTGAACGGAGAGTTTTGTATGACTGGTCCGATCTGCCAGAAAGCTGAGAACGGTTTGTATTCATTATGAATTGAAGACACATTGCTTTCGCACCCAGCGCGTCTTCTCGCGCTTTCATGGGGGCCTTTTTCTTCCCTAGAAGCTGTGTTCCGATGTCTTCCCTTGTTACCTGGAATCAGATGGGGCACGAAGTTACAAAGTTTCTAGCGAAAGCCTCGCTTTCCTTGCCATGGAGACCAACCGCTTTGGGCGCCAAGTTCTAACATCATTGACGAAAGTCTCCTCTTGGAGAATGATATTATAGAGACTCTAGGGGAACCTCTTAGAGGCATCGTGATCAGAGCGACACGGACGAACACAGGAGACTCGCAAGTACCAACGCCACGGTCTGGTCTCTCCACATCCTCACGCCTCCCACGGCTTGAACATGGCTTGAAACACCACACCATTGCTTGGTAGGATACAACAGTTACACTCAGCCGGCTGGGCAAGGGTTAGATGAAGCAAGCCTTTCTTTTCATTTAAACATTGTGTGCCGTCAGGACAGTCTTGAACCGTTTTGACGTGCGGGTATCATAGCTTTTCAGGGAATTCTTCCCTCACATCCATCCTTTCTCCCACCCGCGGAGCCATCCACGAAACCTCCCTTCCTCATAGTCCCTCACGACCTCCAACGGATCATCCCCATTCTCACCCAGCAAGCGGATTCGCATGGACAGTAACCCTCTCAATCACGACCGGCTCCTTGGGCCGATTCTTCCGATCCACCTCGACCGCCTCAATCTTGCCCAGCGTGACGGTGCTATCGTCCCCGATGATCCGCCCAAAGACGGTGTTGAGCCCGTCCAGGTGCGGCGCCTTGTCAAACAGGACAAAAAACTGCGAGCCGTTCGTGCCGGGCCCCTTATTGGCCATGGACACGACGCCGCGCGCGCCGTGCTTGAGGGCCGGCCGGATCTCGTCCTCGAAGACGCCGCCCCAGATGGAGCGGCCGCCCTTTGGGTTGTCCGGGGGCGACGGGTGCGCCGGCCCGCCGGTCTGGGCCATGAATTTTGGGATGAGGCGGTGGAAGGGGGAGGCGTCGTAGTAGTGTGATGCGCAGAGGGCGAGGAAGTTCTGTGAGAGGGGATTGGTTAGTCGTCCGTTGGGTAGAGTGTCGCGCGATACGATTGAGGGTGGTGGGTGAACGGCCGCGGGTGGGATTCGAAGGGAAAGTCTTGGGATGATTGGGAAGGGGTCCTTTTTACCTCTGCTGTTTTTGGTACGCTCTCGCAGAAGACTTCGATCTTCAGGTCGCCGAGATTCGTATGTAATGTGACGGACATGTTGGAGGTTTGTCTGGTGGTCTCGATCGCGAACTCGAATTGTTGTGTGGTCGTCTGGTGTTGTTGACGGCGCAAAGCTAGCTGCCAGCTGGATATATGCTGGATGTATGCGACTGCATGTTTAAAGTTATGTGGTGGACCACTTCATTGGGCCCCCCGGCATCGGTGCATTGAGCTCCGGGTGCCGACTCAAGCTGCTGCCGCCGACCAAGGTACTTACCAGTAGGTGCGCGCATGAAAGCCGCCCCCCACTTAACGAGTGACAGTCAACTCATACCTCTGTTGCGAACGCTTTGATTTCAACTTCAGTTGATACAAGGTTGTTTGCCTCGACGAGACTTTCCTGTCTTGTACCAACCTTGAGAACACGAATCAAGTACAGCATTTGAGATAATGGCGAAATATATCCAAGAATGTTGAGTTCAGCTTGACAGTGAGCAACATGATTGCTAGATAGTTTCGAGAGCTTCTGGCATACCTACTTACTTGATATGTTGAACACCTATACACTGCTCAGCGACAGTCACCCCGTCAATGTCTTCCTCGCTCTAACTGTACGATGATTAGATCAATTTGTTTCAATGACGTCAAATGCATAGAAACAATCCCGGCCCAGGCCAAGTACTGGCCAGGGTCGCCGGGGGGAGGGATGCACACGGCCCCATACGGGTAGGTGGGCCAGTCCGCGGGACCGGACGGGACGAAAAATGAGTGGGAACTCGAGCCGGGAACGCGCCGCCCGGAAGTCTGGGAGGATGCTCGAACCAATTGACCGCTATAGGAAGTGCATTGTTCATTACCTTGGGTCCAGCCCCTACCGCTCAGCCATGCCACACCTCTCCGACTTACCACATTTGCGCAACTCAGTTTGCAAAGTTTCACGCTGAACGTATCCGGGCAAGTAGAGGAGGGGGGACCGTGTGCCTCCCCCCGGAGGACAGCGAAACGAGTTCCCAACGGCTCCCACAACTTCACTTCTTCTCGACAAGGAGGCGAAAATCAGTGCGTTTGTGTCGGCAGCCCGCGGCCATCTACAATCTTTGGACTATCAAGAAAGAAGAAATCTTGCATTATTCGTTGCTTAGGACGATGACGGTCATCTCGACAATTCAGAAAGTTGAAACTTGACGGACCACCGACTCGAATTCGTTACTGTTCACTCTCATTATTTTCATATAGAGGATCGACCTGTCGTTGAATTCCTAGCAAACGAGTCTTGTTCCAGGTTCACACCAATCGAACCCTGGATCCGAACTCCACAACATGACCTTCAACGAGATCGTTCGAGACACCTGGGCATGGCACGTCATACGAGCCGTCACCAGGGCCAGGCATCCGGCGTTCCAATACTTTGACGAGAGACACCCCTTGATCCGTCAGAGATACACGGAAAATGGCTATGATCGGTCAGGCTCGGGGTGAGTTACAAGTTCACATGTAAGAGCAAAGGCGGTATACTAACACGCGGTCTATCTCGAACTGAAGACTCTCATACGCTTCAAGACACACCGAAGTTCGAGCATTTTCACTAGACTCTGAGAAGTCAGATAGCGAGATCCCGGGCAATCAAACAATCAGCCGTACGACGTGGGAAAAGTATGGCATCGAGAATAGAAGAGGTCTCCATCTCGTCGAGTTCTTGCCAAATGACCCAGAGGTAACAAAGATCGCAATCCCCTTTTTCACTCTCACCTTTTGGACATCGTAGCTAAGGGTCCAATACCACAGAACCCGAGAAACTGGTCCGTCATGAAGAAAGCCATCGTCAGCTTCCACATCTGCCTCCTCGTCATCGCCGTCTACGCAGGCGCATCAATCTACACCGTCGGCACCCACGGCGTCCGCCAGCAATTCGGCGTCTCGGAGGTCGTCGCCCTCCTAGGACTTACAGTCTTTGTCCTGGGCTACGGTCTTGGACCGGTGAGTCTATACTCGATTACCCCTTATTCTCATCTACCTTACCTATACTGACAAGAACGCAAAGATGGTCTGGAGCCCCCTCTCCGAGATTCCCCAGATCGGCCGCAATCAAATCTACATACCCGCCCTCACAATCTTCGGCCTCGCCCAGATCCCCATCGCCCTCGCCACTTCCATCGGCATGCTCCTCGGCTTCCGCTTCCTCGCGGGCTTCTTCGGCTCCCCCGTCCTCGGCTCCGCCGCCGGCATCCTGGACGACATGTTCGTCTCCCGCAAACACACCTACGCCATGGCTTCTTTTTGTCTCATTGGCATCTCCGGTCCCACTCTCGGGCCCATCGTCGGCGGCTTCGCCGTCGAGCTCAAGGGCTGGACCTGGTCCGCTTGGATCGTGTCTTGGTTAGCCGCCTGGATTCTCGTCGTGCTCATCTTCTTCCTGCCAGAGACGAGCGCCGATAACATCTTGTATCGACGGGCCATGCGTTTGCGGAAAGTGACGGGCGACCCGGGTTTCGTCTGCGAGGCGCAGCTGCGCGCGGATTACACCGCCGGCACGGAAGTCTTTAAAGCACACCTCGTCCGGCCCTTCACCTTGGTCCTCACCGAGCCGGCCGTCTTCTTTCTGAACCTGTATAGTGCCTTCGCCTACGGGCTGATGTACATCTGGTTCGAGGCCCTGCCGTCAGCCTACGGGGAAGTATATCACTTTGGCACCGGCAAACAGGGCATCGCGCTGCTAGGTCTCATCGTCGGCGTCCTGCTCACCATCCCGCCGTTCTTCCTGTACTACCGCAAACGCATCGAGCCGCAGTTTGATCGCGACGGCAACATCGAGCCGGAGAAGCACCTCCACCCGGCCATGGTCGGCTGCCTCTTCATCCCGGCCAGCTTGGTCTGGTTTGGGTGGACGGCGCGGCCCGAGATCAGTTACCTCGTCCCCATTGTCGGGTCGTCGCTTTTCACGGCGGGTGGGTTGCTGCTCTACATCTCGATTCTGAATTAACTTGCCGAGTCGTACCCGGATCACGTCAGTTCCGTCTTGGCTGGGAATGAGCTGTTCAATGCCATGTGCGGGGCTACGTTCCCGCTGTTCATCCCGCCCATGTATTACCGGTTCGACGTGCTTGGGTCGAGTATGATTCTGGCCATTTTCGCTGTTGCGTTTGTGCCTTTGCCGTATATCTTGTACATGGTAAGGATGAACCCCTTTTCTCTACAATGCCTTCCCTGTCGTGTATACTATGAACGCGTTTGACTAATAGCTATTGCAGAGGGGAGCCAAGCTTAGAAAACAGAGCAGTTACGCAAGAAAAGGAATGTGAGATACTGGTCAGATAGGCATAAGGGTGTTTGCTTGGGTTTACTGATGTATGTACCTACTTGGAGCACATAAAGCGTGGATTAGATGTCAGTTGTTCATTTCGTCTTGAACTGGCTTACACCTGCTTCCCTTTGGAACCTCAAATTCCTTTCTGTAAAAAAATTTCTTTAACGTGTCATGGACGTATTCACTTTGTTGATGTCACGGTGCAGGATGTAACATGGAATAAAATGGCCAGGGGAAAGGGGGGGGGGGGGGGGGGGGGTACTGGGGGGGGGGGGGGGGGGTGTAAGGCAAACTGACGGGGACTGCTATAAAAGCACCCAAGCCTAGCCCGAAGATGATAATCCCGCCAGCAACGACTGCGCCGCAACGTTTCCTCGGTCTCAGTAGGGTCCATCGCTATCGATCTATCGAGTTCCGCTCGGGATAGACTTTCGAGATGATCCTGTGTAGCTGGATCTCGAGAGAGCTGAGGTTGACGGTCATGGTGCTTGCGTCTCGCCATGTGCTCAACGGACTTCAAGGCTGTCTCGATAATTGAACGCTGCCAGTCTAGGCGTTCTTGATCAACTCTGAGATCGAAAGTTCTTTCAATGCCGCGGACACGAAAAAAGTGACGCTCTTCCTCTTGGGGAAAGGTAAAGATCTCTACCCTCGGTAGTCCAGTGGCCCGCCGGTGGCAGTTTCTTTCCTCCAGAATGCGACTTGACCTTCTGCGCGAATAAACTGATGTCTTCCTGCTGAAACTTGACGGGACTGCACTGTCCGAGACCTTTCAAGGACACATTTCACAGCCATGTACACCAACAAGTGCCTGTAAACCACTCAAGTGCCCCGAATATTAACTGAGCGTGGATCATAAGTTTCCATTACCAGCGGGCTGAGGTCGGTAAGGTTAATCTTTGCTCGTCTCATTTTTTCAACGTTGGTGCTCAGGGCGCTTGATCCAACATTCCTGAGCCTGAGAGAGAGTTGAAACGCCGGCCAACTGCTTGCAACTTGTTCCAGACCCCAGTAATGGCTGCTGGTTGGAGGTGGAATCTTGCTTTGGGGACCATTTCGCTTCAACCATTTCGCTTCAACCATTGTTCGTGATCCAAAATCAATTCACTGGTGAATCAGGTCAGCACCAGTCCAGATCACTAGAAACATTCAGTCAAAAGTAACTTACGTATACAAATGCAGCATGCTGTATTCTATTTTAGACTTGAGTTCCGTCTCGAAGTCAATGGAGACGGACGATGGTCTCAATCAAGGCAAAACGGATGTCAAGCTGACGGGATGTTCTTTGCCTTTCATTCGGAAGATTGCGGAGCTAGCTGATCGGCGCAGGATAGCAACTGAGCTGAAATGATGGAACCCAGCCTCCCAGCTCTGCTTCTCGGTCGAGTTGTGAATCGGAGCCTTCACTATCTCGGGCTTCGGAGCGAGACTTCGCAGAGTTCGGTGAGTGTTCTCATCTTGACAGGAGGACTTGACGGTATTGGCGAACTGTCCATACCCCTTCGTCTCCGACTCGAGAAGGAAGTCTCGCTCCTCTTGGTCGAGGATTTGGTGCCGGCAAGTCCAAACGATTTCGGCAAGTGCCAGATAATCCTGAATGAATTACCGATTAGACAGTGTGCTGGAGTGAAACATGGCGGAGATTGGAGACATACCTTGGGGTCATTTAGACAAGGCGTGGCGGTGAGGACCAGAACTCTGCTCGCTGCGATCAGAGACACGGCCTTGAACGATACCGTTGATCGCTCCTTGAGACGATGAGCCTCATCGCAGATCAAGACCTCAAAGCCACGGCTTTGCGAGGCGAAGGACGAAGAGTATGTTACTTTGTCATTCTCTTCTTTGGTCATCAGAGTCTTCCTCGCCCATGACCTGTAGGTCATGATCAAGATGACTCTGCGGGGGTCGTTGCCTTCGTCATCTATCCGCTTGGACCACACCCATTGAAGCATTGACAGCCAATTGTCAACCCAATCATCCTTTTTTTTCAGGACTTTAATGTCGTCTGAAGTGTCGCCACGATCGGTGATGGTCATCCATCCAGGATGCATTCTGGCAATGTCATCTACCCATTGTCTCGTGATGGCATGGGCCGATGTCAAGATGACGCTCGGCTTCCTGTCCATGTCGGGAAAGCCGTCGAGGACCTTGTGCGCAATCCGTGTCGCGTAATGCCACTTCTGTCGTGCCGGTCTCACAGATCGCCTCCGTGATCTTCAGGATGCTCTTGTTAATGTCTCTGTCCATCGATTCGACCCTGACACCGGCAAGCAAGCCTCGAACGTCGGTGAAGTCCGCAAAGTTTGGGTAACGCTCCCCTATAGGGAAAGTCTTCGATGTGAAGAAGATAGTATGACTCAAGTCATTGTCCGAAGAGACCTCAGCAGCACTAAGAGCCTTCGACCATGCCGTCTCTGAATTTGGATTTGACGAGTAGATGGGATAGATTCCATTCTCGTTTCCATCGAGACTGGCAAGATTGTTTCCCGCAAACTTGACTATATGTGAAGGCTTCGCGCAAAACCATATGTCGGCAATGACCAGATGCCATTTCAATCACAGACTTCTCTCGACACTGCTTACTCGCTCGCACGTATTCGAGGGACGATGAGTGACCGACACCGAAGCCCGGTTCAAAAGGACTATCCAAGCTCCTTCCAGGCATCAAAGAGGTTGTACCAAGGAATGGGTAAAGCCCCCGATGGTAGCTCCAAGGTATCCGGAGCAGACAAGATCAACCACACGTTCTTCAATACCACTTTGCCCGCAATGCCAAGACCAATACTGGATGGGATCTGACAGGTCTAATAAGATCTGTAGTAAGTATGAACGCGGTAGACACTATGTGAATGCGACAAGAACCCCTAGTGCCTCTGGTGCAAATCGGAAGGACATCATGAGAACCGCTTCCCTTGCCCCCTACGGTGGTAAAGGGCCAACCCTCACCATAACATCTGTAAATCAACTTCAACCCTGCCACCGTCGTACGTCAAGGTAATTATTTACTTGTTCATCAAGGGTAGCATTGAGATCACCACCACACCCGTAAGCGGCGAAGTTTCTATTCTACCTTACAGAAAAGAAGAACCATCCCATCCCATCCCATCCATCCTAGGAATTTCGCTCAATCGTAGCTTTCAAATTCCTAAAACCAAAATACTTTGCCACCTTTGCGACCTCAAATCACAACCCCCAGTCGCCCGCCGAAAGGGGAGTGGGAAAAAAAATCTCGAGTTCTTTCCCCGAAGCGAGACCACACACACACACCCGTCCCGTCCCATTCCATCCAGTCCCTACTTTCCCGAGCCAGTTCAGAAAACGGGGGGGAAGGTGGGACAAAAAGGGAGTGTGAGAGACACAGGGAGAAAGCAATAAGCAATTTTTGGATATCATGCTCTTTTTTGTCCACGCACGAGTTACTTCGAAGAAAACCGCCGCCTTCCATAGAGAAGAAGAAGAAGAACAGAGAGACGCCCTCTGCGGCATTCTTCTCATCCTCGGATAATTTGATGATCAAGACCGTTACACCACCTATGGTGCTGCTAAAAAGAAAGTCGTGAGAAGGAGGTTAACCAGTGAAGGAAGCCCCCCTTTAAGTCATGCATCCATCATCAACCCACACGTCTGCGTTTGTTACCGCGGTCGGGGCTGTCAGTGATCCCATCGAAGCTATCCCGCGGAACCTCTTCAGTCCCGGTGGAGCTCGGTGTGCCATTGACGTTGTTGTTGTTGCCCCCTCCGTTTTGGGGACCCGAGCCGTCGAGGGTAAAGTTGAAGTCGTTCCCGTCACCGTTGAAGTTGACGCCAGGGTACGCGTTGTCGCCCTGGAACGCGTCCGGGTTCAGGAACTGGTCAATGTCGAGGTCGCCGTCAAAGTAGCCGTTCACGTTGCCGTTCTCGTCGATGCCGGGTATGCGACCCGAAGGGCTGAGCGGTCCGAGCATGCTGGAGAGGTGGTCCAGCTTCGCGGCTTGCTCCTCCTGCATCCGGTGTAGCGCGGCGAGGTCCTCTTGGTTGAAGTTGATTTGCTGTAGTGAAGGTGGCGGCGCGGCGGAGCCCATGATGGGCGAGAGGGAGAGACCGGGGGCGGCGGGCATGGGCGGCGGTGTATCGGGAGTAGCGGTCACGGAGGGAGCTGGCGGATTGGGTGAGGCGGACATTGAAGGCTTGGAGGACTGTGGAGCGTTGGTTGAGGGTGTAACGGACGATCGACCGGCCATGGCGTTCAGCATCTTGTTCCGTTGGTCGTTACTCATTGTGGCGGGGGTGTTGTTGACGACGTGGGGGAGATCGATGCCAGATGAGTTGTTAGCATTTGTGTCGTGGATAATCTTCATCATGCTCTCATGGGGATTCGACTCGAGCTCTTGGGCTAGATAGTTGGTTGGTGATGTGTGGTCGCCGGGCGATGTGTCAAACAGTTCTGTGACGGTGCCCATCTCGCGGTTGTACGGCTGAGGCGTCGCGGAGCCGCTAGCTGGTGACGGCGATACCGTATTCGCGCGACCTTTGGGAATGGGCGGCAGCAACGCTTGCCGGCGCTTTGGGATATTGATGTTGTTTCCTGCCGAGGTTTGTGCTTGCACGTAGTCGCCCAGGTCCACGACGCTTCCCTGAGGTACCGAGCTAGAGCTGTTGCCGTTCGGAATGATGCTCGCGAGAAGGTCGTTTACGCTCTGGGGGCCCGCTTGGTCCTCGAGTGTCTTTCTAAACACGTTGGCCAAGAAGTTCAGGATGGCGTTGATGGAGTTTTGATGACGGTCGTGCTGGCTCTGGAAGACGACAGCCTGCTGATATAACGCCGTGTTGTCTTGCTGGATCCGCTGGATCGCCGTCATGATCATCCTCTGCTGCTCGCGCACCTTGGCCAACTCTTCCCGAATCAACGTCATCTCCTTCTTCTGTATCGGCATGTCGCCCGAGGGTGGCAGAGCTTTGCTGGCGGGTGCACTGGCGGTACTAAAGCCCTGTGTCACGCCGTCGTCAATGTTGACGGCATCCTCCTCGCTGTCACCCTCGACTTCTGCATTCTTGGCGCCCTTTTTGCCCTTGTTACCGCTCTTTGGTTTGTTAATGAGCCAGAGCAGGTTCGGGTGCCCTCGTCGGAAGAAGGGATTCGAGTACTCGCTTGGGCTCTTGTTCTTCCGTTCGCTTGCACGCATCGAGTTATCCGACAAGCCGACCCGCTTGTGGAAGCCGTACATGTTGAGCTGTCGTACAAAGGAAGCATAGTTGTTGTGCTTGAACAGGTCGGGAATTAGCTTCTTCGCGAATTCATCCTCGTCGAGGACGATGAATGAGTCGCCCTTCTCCGACCACCGAATGAGCTCAGAATTCTTATCGTCGTCGAGGAAACTGTGTATCATTAGTATGGGTACAAAAAAAAACCTACTGCCAACAAAATACGCCTTCTCGTCACTTTGGAGGTACGGGAACCTAGCTTACCTGCTCAGCTTCTGCACAAACGGTGGAATCTGCTTCCGCTTCTGCTGCGCCTCCCTCATGGCTTTGCGAGCCATCTCCTCCAGGATTTCGACGTTGTCGGTCTCGGCCATGTTTCCGTTTGCTTGTTGCTGCTGCAGGAGCGCAGAGTCTTCGCCGACAAAGGACCAAGGGTCGCTGGACGAGTCGAAGTTTTGCCTCGCACCTGTCGGGACGAGTGCTCTGTTCATCTGCCTCCGCGCGACGGCATTGTTGGGGCTTGGTGTGGGCTGCACGAATTGCTGCGGCGTCTGCTGCTGCTGTTGCTGCTGCTGACCGGGGACGAGGCCGTACGAGTTGACGGCCTGGGCCCCTGTTCCGTCCACAAGGCCCGTAGCAGCGTCCGCTGCCCCTCCCCATCGCAAGAACTGATCGCCAGGCGGGCTGGGAAATGACTGTCCGACCTGTGGCATCGGCATGGTGGGTATCGTTCCTGGCGCTGGTCGCTTTCGAGGGTTCGAAGACATGGGAATGTGCATGCGCCTTCGTTGGGGGGTTTGTTGGTTCGGGTGAAGACGAGTTGTGTGGCCCGTTGGGAGAGTTCAATCTGCCAGGTCGCCGGCTGATGCGGCGCCTTGGAGGCGGACGTGATAGGCTGACGCGGGGGTCGCCTGCTTCGGTGAGGGTCGTTTGAATCTTTTCGCGGCGGCCGCGTTTGGTGGGTTGCGGGTTGAAAGCTGTAGGCAGCCTGTGTACCAGTAGTCGCCGAGAGCAAGCCAGGAAAAAACCACCTCCTCGTTTTGCTTTTTCACAGCGGTGTCGAGAAGCGAAGAGCAGCGGCAGCGGCGGCGGATGGATCGGTCGGGATAGTACAGACTAATCGGATAATCGCCTGTCGCATGCGCAAAAAACTCCCACGGTCTGCGAGAAGCCGAAAAGTCGTCGGGCGTGGAAAAGCGCGGTGACTGAAAGAAGGATGGTGAAATGAGGATACGGATCTCGTGGTTCTATATACGTTCGGGGTCGGTCGTTGGGTCGTGATGCCTGGGGGGGGACCTCTCTCTCTATGTCCAAAGTGCTGAAAGGGCAGGCTGGAGGAGGGGGAAGCCTGAGTCAATCGCCAAAAGCTGTTGGAGAAGCTTTCGCAAAGGAAGTCTATTGTGTGAGAGAGGAAAGAAGAAAAAAGCCGACAACAACAATTCCAACTATGGGCCAGCAAAGAAGCCCTTGTCGCGATAGGTCGGGCTTGGGTTTCGGCGCAAGGGTGCGATTGTCTCGGTCGCGGAGGATGCTGCGAAAGCTCTGAATGATAGCAGAGGTTACCGCTTCTTTTTTTCTGGTAAGGAAAAAAAAAGGTGAGTGTTCGCTGTGTTAGGTAAGGCACATTCAGATGACGGTACCTTACGGTGAGGCGTCAGGCGTCAGCGGGTTTGGTGCTTGGCTCGACTTGACGGTCCAAGGTTGTGTGCTTTGGTCGTTGCACGTTGATGGCGGCGGTGTTGCTGCTGACTGCAGTTTGCTGGCTGGCTGCTGCAGACGTAGCGCGTCTCTCACTTTTTTTTTTTTTTTTTCCTTCGTCCTCTTCCAAGGTGCGTGGTGGGGGGGATGATGTCGCTACCACGTCGTGTACTGTGGGTTAATGTGAATGTTTTAAAAGAGGATAATTGGATGAGAAGGGGTTGTCTCTCCAAGTTAGGTATGTGCGTGTGCTTAGGTAGCAATTGAGACCAGTTCGTGACATGCACCTCACAAAAAAGAAAAAAAAAAGAGGGTTGAAGGAAGTATAACAAGGCCGTTTCTTGTCCGAGTAAGAAGGGACCGCAGGCTCAAAGAGTCTAGAAGAATTAAGGTCAGATCTGAAGCTGCCTGGTGTCTGGGCCGGGGGAACAATATCGTTGTTGTATTATCATTATCAGCCATGCGGGACTGAGACCACGAGAAACTGAGGATCCAGAGGCTCAGAGTTTACGCAGAAGACCCCGTCACCCGAGTGGAGACCCCTGAAGGAAGAAGAACTGCAAGCACCAGCCCACCACCGGCCACCGGCCACCGGGGCCTGGGACCGTCAAGGAGCC